CAGTCATGAAGTGCATTTATTTGCGACACTTGTCGAACGAGAAACCTCTGGGGTGCCTTTGTGCTACATTGTTGCTATTGAATACTTGCGCCGGGAATAGCCGAACTTATAGACGCGAGATATGTGGCTCTCCAGGTCATATTGCCTATTCGGAGCACTTCCCGCATAGTTTGTCTAGGTTGTGTGCTCTTAGTTGGTTCATAGCTTAGCCCTCGACTAACTTAACTCGACTAACTTAACTCAACTAACTTCACCCAACTAACTGCACTCAACTAACTCAACTCAGCCAACTTAAGGGAACTAACTCAACTTAACCAACTTAACCCACCCAACTAACTTAACTCGACTAACTTAACTCAACGGACTTAGCTCAACTAACTTAACTCAACTAACTTAACTCAACTAACTTAACTCAACCAACTTAACTCAACTAACTTAACTCAACTAACTTAACACAACTAACGTAACTCAACTAAATTGACCCAACTAACTTAACTCAACTAACTTAGCTCAACTAACCCAACTCAACTAACTTGACTCAACTAACTTAACTCAACCAACTTAACTCAACCAACCTAACTCAACTAACTTAGCTCAGCCAACTTAACTCGACCAACTTAACTCAACCAACATAACTCAACTAACTTAACTCAACTAACTTAACTCAACGAACTTAACTCAACTAACTTCACTCAACTAACTTCACGCAACTAACCTAACCCAGCTAACCTCACTCAACTAACTTCACCCAACTCACTTCACTCAACTCACTTCACCCAACTAACTTCACCCAACTAACTTCACCCAACTAACTTCACCCAACTAACTTCACCCAACTAACTTCACCCAACTAACTTCACCCAACTAACTTCCCCCAACTAACTTCACCCAACTAACTTAACTCAGCTAACTTAACTCAGCTAACTTCACTCACCTAACTTAACCCAACGAACTTAACTCAACGAACTTAACTCAACTCACCTAACTCCACTAACCTCACTCCACTAACTTAACTCCACTAACTTCACTCAACTAACTTCACTCCACTAACTTCACTCAGCTAACCCAACGCAACTAACTTAACTCGAATTAACTTCACGCAACTAACCCACGCAACCAACTCAGCCCAACTGACTCAACTAGCCCACTTAACTAACCCCACCCAACTAACAAAACCTCACCCAACTAACTTCACACAACTAACTTCACCCAACTAACTCCACCCGGCTAGCTTGACTGAACTAACTTCACCCAACTAACTCCACCCAACTAACTTCACCCAACTAACCTAACCCAACTAACCCCACCCAACTAACTTGACCCAAACTAGCTCCACCCAACTAACTTAACCCAACTAACCTAACCCGACTAACCTAACCCAGCTCAGCTAACTCCGCCTAACTAACTTAACCCAACTAACTGAATTCCACTAACTTGACTCAACTAACCCAACTCAACTAGCTTAGCCATGGGCGCAACCAACTCAACTCGACCCATTTACCCCAACCCACTTGACCCAACTAACTTGGCCCAGTTAACTCGCCCCAACTAACTTGCCTCCACTGACTTGACCCTACTGACTTGGCCCGACTGACTTGACCCAACTGACTGCACCCAACGCACTTGGCTCAACTAACTTGACTTAACTAACTGAGCCCAACTGGCTTAACGCTACGAACCTAACTCAGCCAACTTAACTCAGCTAGCCTATTTAACTCAGCTAACTTATTTAGCTCAACTAACTGAACCCAGCCAACTCCACTCAGCTAAATTGGCTCAACTATCTTCACTGAACTAACTTAGCCCAACTAAGTCAACTCAATTAACGTAACTCCGCTAACTTAATTCAGCTGACTTAGCTCAGCTGACTGAACTCAACTGCCTTAAGTTAACTCGACTGACCTAGCCCAACTAACCTGCATCGCCTAACTTGACTCAACTAGCCTGGCTCCGACTCAACTAACTGGACTCAACTGACTGAGCTCAACTAACTGGACGCAACTAACTGGGCTCAGCTGACTTATCTCCACCAACTTCACTCGACTAACCTGACCCAACTAACTTGACTCGACTAACTTAACTCAACGCACTTAACTCGCCTGACTTAACTGACCGCACGGGAATAGCCTAACCAGCCCCCACCAACTGAACTAAACTGACTAACTAAACGAGCTTAAATAAACTAACTCAACTAAGCTACTCAACTGCACTAACGTAGGTAAGCTAACTAAACTAGCCGAACCACGCTAACCTTGCCCAACTAACCTGACGAAGAAAACCGAACGAAGAGAAGCCCGGACGAAGCTGACTGAACTAAAACAACGCAAAGAAAGCACCTTAACAAAGGCGACGCAAGTAAACCAGCTGGGCCAATCTAACTTAACGCAACTGGCCAAACTTCACCAAACTAACTGCATCAAACTAACCTAACTGGACTGCCTTCAGCAAACTAACTGCACTGACATCGCCCAACTAAATGCAATTAGCTAGCCTCACTAAACTAGCATCCCTAAGGTAACTCCACTAAACTAACGCGACTAAACTAATTTGACTAGACCAACCTGGCTCAGCTAGCTGACTCAACTAACATAACTGGACTAGACCAACTTGACTAAGCCAACCTGACTAAACCAACTTGGCGAAACCAGCTCAACTGAGCTAACTGAAATAAGGCAAATTAGCCCAAATAAACCAACTAGCCGAGCCCCTCCAGAATCCAGCGAGCACAACACACACGCGAGTGGCAGGCGCGCCGGGGGATTATTTCCGCACGGGCGCGGGGGCTCGGAGACGACCAAGGGCGCAGGGGCGCGCTAGCCGGCGCGACCGTTTGGCCGCTCTCAGGCTTGCCCGACGAGGTCCCACGCGCACCCGCAAGCGGGCCGGCGCGTGGCAATTGGGACGGGCGGGGCCCCTTCGCTGGCGTTGGATCACTAGGGAGCGAGCGGGCGCGGGCCCGCCCACTTCGTCTTAGAGTGGTTCCCGAAACGGAGTCAGTGCTTGTGCCGGGGCATCGCTACCCTCGCGCGGCGGCATTGTTTAGAAGAACTGGATGGCTTCGCTGCCACTAGCTTCAGTGAAAAGACCGCCGCGCCAGGGAAGTGCTGCCTTGGTGGAGAGGCCTGCGCGGAGACGGCAGGGGGCCAAAAAATTTCTGAGCAAGGTTCGGAAAATGCTCCAGAATTTGGGCCCCTGTGCGCCTCAGCTATGCGCCTCAGGCTGTGCGCTAGCATAGCTAAGCTCATCTAACTTAGCTCAACTAACTAGACTTCGCGGGGGGCGGCGGCGGTGTCACACGTTATTAGCATGGCCCAACTGCCTTTACTGCGCGGGCGGCGGCAGTATCACTTGGCTTCGCTGAATCTTGCACGCCGGTATGCGGGGCTGCTTGGGAAGTGACGCCGCCACCGATCACCGGGCGCTAAGGCAGTGGCCGCTTCGCCTATACCTTGTATCGTGGGCAGTCGCGCGGCCGCGGGCTCATTGCTGCTCAGGTTGGGGAGCGCGCCTCCCACTTCACTGCTGGCGCGTGGCTGTCGCCAAAGCCGTGTGCCAGCACCCGCCCTTTCTGTGATCGCGCTGTGGATTTGCTTCGGCCAAGCTGCAAACGCGTTTCTGAGGTGGCCCAGCTAAGCTCTCGCCGCGCTGCAGACGTGAAGTGGCGAAACTGCGAATGCGTTTCGAACCAGGTGCGCGCACGCTGTGAGTAAGCGTTCCGCACGCGAGGCGGATAGACGATGCCCCGTTTCTTTGAAGCAGATTGACGAGGAGCAGCGCTTCGTTTCATGCAAGTAAGGGACGCCCTGTCTGAAGCAAATAAGGGCCAGTGTCGCGTTTGAAGCGGATAAGGGACGCCGCGTTTGAAGCAGGTAAGGGGCAGCGCCGCGTTTGAAAAAGATCACCGGCAGCACCGCGGCTACAGCAAATAAGACACCCGTGCGTGACTACACTCCCGAAGCAGATAAGGGACTCCCGAGAGGCAGTTGCGAGGCAGATACGAGGCCCGTGCGTGACACTTCCGAAGCAGATTAGGGACCCGTGCGTGACATTCCCAGAGCAGATAAGGGGCTCGTGCGTGACGCTCCCGAAGCAGATGAGGGACTGGTGAGAGGCAGTTACGGGGCAGATGAGGGACCGGTGAGAGGCAGTTACGGGGCGGATAAGAGATCCGTGAGAGGCAGTTGCGAGGCCGATACGTGACTCCAGTTATAAGGGAGTGCAACAAAAGTAGACCAGAGCTGCAAGGAACTTCATTCGACGGCGCGAAACCGTTATTTTTGTGAGTTTGCCGATCGTGGAGGAAACGATTATGGAGGCAAAAGGCTGGACACTCACTCCCTGACTCGATGGTTGGTCTTCTTTCCTAAGAGCGATGCGCGTGCCCCGTTGCATTTCTCAATGAAGGTCAAGGTCCATGTGAGCACACGTTTTCATATGCTTCATTCAAGGTTGGACGAGGCAAGTAGGAGTTGTAATTGCCGCTAATGCGATCTTCGACCACAAGCAATGTAGTGAGCAAAAGTTTTTTTGCGACAACAGGACAGACTTTACCAGCTGTACACCCTTTCTTCAGAAAGTATCCTTCTACTCTGTGAAAAAATGCATTTCTGATGTTGCAAAAAAATTTAGTACTCCTGGTGTTGGGACGACTTCACGTCGTTTCAAATTTTGACTTCCGCTCCGGATCCTGAAAAGTGAGAGTGGTCTTAGGCACGGTGCCGGATGGATTTAAAGCCTTGTAAGAATGGGAAAAGACAACAACGAGAACGTTTCAAAACGTTTTTGTTACCCATGAAAATTGAGTAAACTGGTGTTCCTCGAGAACCTCAGATTCAATTCTGATGCTTTCAGCTTCAGGATCAGAGTCATCTTCTGTCATGAAAATTTTCTCGTGTCTCCTTGTCCTTTTCTCGTGTTTGTCCAGTCGCAAACTGAAGCAACAAAATTGAAATGAAAGCAAAATTGATGGATCTACAAGTGACCTGTCCATGACACGTTCCAGCTGATAAAGACGCGAATGCAATCAAACTGCGCACTTCACTTTTCTGAGTTTGTTCTTTCATCGAAGATTTTGTCTTCGAGTGGTAATAACTATGGAACCCAAACAATACCCTAGTATTCCTCTTTTCGGTTAATCATCTTGCGCATAATTGATCCGGTTTTCATTTTTCTCTCTCAAAAAAACATCAATCGACCTCAACAGTTTGGTAGCTCGTATCAGCACGTTTGTGTGTGTGTGTGTGTTTTTTCCAGTAGAGCACTTCACCTTGATAGAAGTAGGATGTTGTTTTGAAATTTGTTAACAGTCTACTGAGCCTTTGTAAGTAGTTGTGGGATGGTGGAACTGCTCTGCCGTAGCGTTCGTTTCCGGAGGTGAGGGGACGTGAAGCCGAGAATCTGTGACCACGAAGAGCAGTGAGCAGCGATACCGGCGTTGTCGAAACACCTGAGCAGCGATACCGGCGTTGTCGAAGAGCAGTGAGCAGGATAGTACAACTGGAGGGATCCACGTGAAAAAACTACAACACACGGAGGACTACACCTCTGCAGAAGACTGACTACAGCTCTACCACCTTTACTACACCTCTGCCTCTACTACACGACACCAGCCGGCCATTTAGTAATTCCCTTTCCGCCACACCACCTTTCCTTCACATCACCACCAACACCAGCAAATTAAGACAAGATGTCGTCCTTCAGCGATACGTTCACGAAGAACCAGGATCAGGAGGAGCTATTGAATTATGATAGTACAGCAGCATACTATTTTGGAGCCACAGTGCTCCTCTGCTTCCTGCTACCATGGACCTACGCGTGGGTCAACTTCTTCCTGTATGGGTCCATCTCGCCGGCAAGCTTCCCAAAGAAGACACCCAAATTGATGTCAGCAATAAAATACTGCAGGAATCAGGTACTAGCACGACTATTTAGGTTCGTGGATGATCATGTGGTTTGAAGAATGGGTCTACAAAACTTCTCGTTTTTCACAAGACGACTTATATATAGCCAGCCAAACAATAACAAATTCAAATTTCTTCTTCCCCCAAAACGACCCAACAGCCGATGGTCGAGAACCTTGGCAGAATCGAGGCTTTTGCTTCGAAAAAGATGGGGAAAGCAAAGAGATGGTATATGTTGAAGCTAGCCGTTCTGGGTATGATGTGGCTTACGTGGCTCCACTGTTGCTACCAATTAGCCGGCGACTCTGGTGAGGGCACAGTGAAAGGATTTAACCCGTTCGAGATATTAGGCCTAGAACCAGGAGTCGACGACAGGACGATCAAGAAAGCTTACAGTACTATCATTTACAGATATGGTTTCTTTTTGTTTTTGATTGGAAAATGCTGATTCTTGTCGAGTGATGGTCTCTTTCTGCCTTTTGCGTATTGGAAAGAAAACATACAACTAAGAAACTTGAACACCACAGGGGAGAAGTCGTTGCTTTACCATCCGGATAAGAACCCTGGAGACCCTCTGGCGAACGCGAAGTTTTTACAGGTACTTCTAACTCTCTTCGATTTTCCAGGACTATGCTTCAATGCAGCAGGAGTTAGATTCAATGCTAAGTTTTCGACATCATTCTTCTCCGAATCATAAGAAGCTACAACAACGAACTTCATCTTGAAAGACTACAGCAAGCATTTTTTCTATGACATCAATAAAGGTCGCCAAAGCCCTCAAAGCCTTGACTGATCCAGCGGCCAAGGCTAACTACGAAAAATACGGCAACCCAGATGGACCTCAAACTACTAAAGTCGGAATCGGTCTGCCAAGATTTTTGCTGGAGAAGCAGAACCACATGTTGATCCTGTGCATCTTCTTCTTAAGGGTTTTTACCACACTGCATTCTTCACTACCTCCATCCTTGGCTTTTTTTCCAGTAGGAAAACAAAGGTGTATGGAAGGAGGCTCTACCGAAGAATGCAGCCAGGTCGCAACCTCTAATCTTCATTACGTTTTTGATCGTCATTCCTGCGGTCTTTATCGTCTATTACCAGAGACAAAAGGAGTTTGCGCCTAGTGGAGTAAGGGTGGAGACACTGCAATTGCTTGGCCATTACATTCAAGAGAACACGAGGGTGAGAAACTGCCCAGAATTGATCGCGGCGTCAGCATTATGAAGGTTTTGAAACAGCATAAGTAGATGATAAAATTTAGATGTGTTTATTAGCTGCGTTATCATTTTTCACAAGAATTGTACTAGTAGTACTAGAACTTCTGGAGTAAACTTGGATTTATGTACTATGTTCGAACAGAATACTAGCAGCACAACCTCTAATTCTCGAGTCCCGAAATATGGAGATGTACCCTTTTGGCGCAGACGTCGCAGCACAAGACGCGGCCATGAAAGCTCTTGCTGCAGAAATAACAGACGTGCCAGCGAAGTCAAAATTTGACAAACAGCCTTTGATCATGAGAAATAACCACCTACTTCTAGCACATATGCAGAGGCTGCACCACTTGCTCACGCCAGAGTTGAGATGGGAGCTAGACGAGCTGTTGTTTTATGGCGAAGAGGAATATGAATTATTTAAACATTTGTAGTTTATTCGCTCCTACTAGTACTTGAACCTGTTCTAGGTACCAATTTAGCCTTTTAGGTACTAGATACACCAGATAATTGAGGTGCACATGAAAGTTTCCGGTAGCAGGAGTGAGTCCGACTTGTCGTTCGAAAGTTCTTCCACACGTGGAGCGCATCTACCCCCCTTGTCTAAGTTCTCTCCATATCCTATCCTTGAGTCTAATTCGTACACGTGGAGCGCATCACCACTAGCATGATCGAGATTGCGTGCATGCGCGAGTGGCTGGAAACCGCCAAAGCCGTTATTGACTTCAGACGATCTATTGTCCAGGCCCTCGACTGGAAGAGCAATTCCTTGCTGCAGATTCCTCATTTCACCGACGAGTGCGTGAAGCACTGCACCAAGGGAAACAATCCCATTAAGGAAATCACGGCCTTTTTGACGCGGGAGAAGTCACTGCGAAGAGGCGTAGTGAACATGAGCGAAGAAGAGCTCTTGGACATCGACGACTTTGTGCAATTCTGCACACAAGCGTCGTTAGAGGTGGATGCGGCAGTAGAGGGGGAGAAGACAATCTGCAAAGACGACGTCGCGACGATTACTGTGTACTGATACCTTATAAATATAATGATTGACAATCTGCAAAGACGACGTCGCGACGATTACTGTGTACTGATATAATGATTTGGTAGATGTATCCTTCAAGCAAAACGCCTTATATAAGGATTTACTACTGATGTTGGTGGTGTGCTGTCCTCTAATGACGGCTCGCATAGTTAAGACCAAACCATGGACGAGTGAGTGTTCAAAATTATAGATTATACTTTGCTTCTAATATTATAGGGCTTTGCTACGAGGAACATGATCTCGTTAAGAATTTTTTCTTACGAGAATTCCACTTCCTGACCAAAACACAGGAAGATAACGCGAACTAACCTTGAGGAAGGCGAGGCTTTGGGTTACGTGCATGCGCCATTCTATCCGGACTTGAAGAAAGAAGAGTGGTATATCTTCCTAACCGAAGGAAGCAAGATCATATGCTGGGAGAAAGTGAGGTCGGACGAACGGGTCATAGTAGAGAAGATGCGATTCCACGTGGGAAGGAAAGGAAAGCACACTCTTCAGGTCCAAGCATTCTGCGATAGCTACCAGGGAATAGATCAGGTACTTGAGCTAAGTACTTCTTGTGGTTGTGGTTTTCGATGTTGATGTCATAAAGAGATTTTTACGGTTGTTCATCTTTTTGAATACTATTTAACTTCAAAATCGTGGAGATCCGTGTGATCGTGGTGCTCACGATTATGTTCATACTATTTAACTTCAAAATCGTGGAGGTGCTCACGATTATGTTCGGATCTGATCTTCCATGATATCCAGAAGATGAGCGATCCACAAAGGAATCATCCATCCACAAAAGAATGATATCAACACAGGCCGGCACCGTCACTTTCGACGCCCTCAACCCAGACGACGACGAGTCCCGATTTGTCTACGTGCATCCTGAAGACGAAAAACTAGACGAACACCCAACGTTGTTCCAGCAATTGGTAGGTGACATGGGTCCTGGAGATGAAAGCGAGGACGAAGAAGACGAAAGCGGTTCCGAGGAAGGCAACAGTGACGCGAAGAAGGGCGATAACGCTGCAGGTGGTAAAATTTTTCCAGAATTTCTATTTCTCTTTCATAATTAAGATGGGGTAGTGTTGATTTTTGTAAAACAAGTAAATTTAATATAATATTTTTGACAAATAACTTTAAACCGGAAAATCAATTGTTTGTTTCGAATGACAGGTAATGGCGACGGAAGCGAGTCGGACAGCAGCTCGAGTTCTGACAGTAGCTCGGACGACGAGAAATAAGGTCATATGTCGTGAGATGTTGGCATACAACATCTTCACACTACTCGTAATATAGTAGTTAATATCACCACTTTGATTATTCTACTTATGAATAGGATGCTTCGAAACAAGCTAGATGCTTTTGAAGCTGTCGATGATCTGGATCCTCCGCATAGTCTAAGATTTATAGTCTAAAAAGGATTTATAGGAGATGTTTTTTCAACGTTTCACTCCTTGAAGTCCAAGAATTAGAAGGAGTCGTTTTGCTGTCTACCGGGAGACCATGGAAAGCGGGAGACCATAGGTTCATGTTAAATGTTCATACATCATGGAGATGTGGATTGAAGTGGAGGAAGTTACTCACGAAAATGCTTACTGTATAAAAGAACGTTTGGGAGTCCGCTCTGTTAGTCCTCCCATATTTCTAGACTACTATATGCATGGAGTTCGGAAAAGTTTTTTGAATCGGCTCTCCCACTAATTATCCCATGTGTGAAAGAACCCTATCTCTTCATATTAGAGGTTCATAGTTCTATGCTATCGCAGAAAGCGCTAGTTGTAGTGTATTTCAACATCTAAAAGAACACGATAGCCTCTGAATCTCAACATACGGATATCATCATCTAATTCATCACCCGACACCCTTTCGTAACTGAACTGGGTTGTATCTCATCATGATCCATCTATCGTCGAACTTCACCTAGTGTCCTAGTCATCTATCTCGAATATTATTATACGGTTGAATCATTGCTAACATTGGCTTCGTTGTACTCAGTCGGTATTTTTCTACCACCATATCGCATCGAAAATTAGCCATCGATGAAAGTGACCCTTCAAAGACGCTTTGTAACCTTTCAGACCCAATTTCAATTCCCGAAGAACCCAGTCTCAATTTCACCACATCATGGGCGAAACGGCAAGCTCGCCTCTGGCAAGTGGAAGTAGAGGTTCTTGGGTCGCAGTCAATTGTTAGAAAATGGTCGTAGTTGAAGATTCGAAAGGGTTAAAAGCAGCTCGACTCAAAATCGTCGACGAAAAAAAAGTTCGTCCTTGAAGGAAAAAACTCGGTTTAGAAATTTTCGCCGAAAAGAAAGTACAACAACAAAAAACTTCAAAACGACCTGTCCAACGTCTTCAAATAATGGAACTCGCTCGAAAAATAGATTCGGCGACTTTCGCCTGCATAAGACCTCTACATAAAGGACTTACTATCACCATTTTTTCTAAGTGAGAGCTAGTAGCAACACATCTTGTTCAAACAGACAGGATGGCCTCCTCCTCTTCGTCCGGCACTTGGCGTGGGCCGCAGAAGTCACACACACCACCCTCACGAACTTCAGCACCGTCGCAATTGTCGATCATCCCTTCACGGGATAAGAGCACGGATGACAAACTACTTAAGGGTAGGTTAAAGGTGCTTTTCTTACCGCTTTCTATGCCCCTCTCCCTTAGGATGAGAAAGGCATAAAAAGCGGGGTAAGCAATCACCAAAAACCTACCTCTAAACTGCGGGTGATGTCCGACACTTACTGCAAATCCAGTGTGCTGGAAGAACTCACGTTCCACGACTCTTCTGAGCACTTCTTCTATCCGGAAGCGGATGCTGGAGTCGATAATTCGACGTCGGAGAAAGAAGATGTTGGCGGAATAACGTTTGGCAGTGTTGGTGGGGATAGTTGTGTTTCGAGTATGGGAGCGAAGACGGGACAATCTGCTTCTTGGAGAGAAGTTGTGGAGGTAGGTGGTGGTAGTGGAGGGCAGGGTGGTGGTAATTCTGGTGCTCTTGTTTACCAAGGACATCACTTGGGCAGGATACCGACTACAACGTCTATTAACAATCATGACAGGAAGGACAATGATGTTGGCGCGTCACCGTCAGAAAAACAAGACCAAAATGCCGGAGGCGGCTCTCTTTTATGGATGATGTTTTTCCATCTTTCAGACCATCGACGCTGCACCTTTCCCGCTTAAGACTGTAAATAGGTTAAGGGGGGCCTCGATGGTCTGGCTGGATGGAGTATGGACGCCATTCATATCTTTCAGCCAAAGATGTCGCATCACCAGCGAATCTTCACTTCCTCAGAAGTGCTTTCCGAATGAGCCGATCTTTTTCCTTCAGCACGGGTCGTGGCAGTCCGTTTTTCTGGCGTGAGCACCTTGTTCTGGGAGTCGCAGCCGTCTTCGTGGGTGGGCTGTTCCACTTGACGCCTTTTTTCGTACTCCTCTTCTACCTCCAGCGAGATCTGGAGAAGAAATATCGTGCAGACGTAGGCGAATTTGATGGGGCAGTAGTATCTTCGGATGATGCGGACGAGGACTATAATTACCAGGGTTCTTGTTCTGCTGGGAGTGGTGCTGGTGCTGGTGCTGCTGCTGCTGCTGGTGCAGACCACATGAACTACAACAATGATCAAAGTCTAGTAAAAACATCTCCTCTGCACAATTTGGTGCAAAATCATAGACCCACGATAGTGAATGCCTATACGGTGGTAACAGATGAGCGGATGAACGCGGTTTCTAGCTCCTCTACTAGGGCAGAAAACTACAGAGTCAGTAGTCCATCAGGAGCTAGAAACGTCACAAGTACTACTACTAAGACCCTGAAATTTGCCGAGATAGGAGAAACAACAGATGTCGAAGTTGATTTGGATTTGCAAGATCCTTTGAAGCACCATCAACAGAGGTACCAAGCGGCATCTCCCCAGTATCCTCAGGCATCTCCACAGTATCCTCAGGCATCTCCACAGTATCCACAGGCATCTCCACAGTATCCACAGGCATCTCCACAGCAGTCATCGCTTAGTCTTAGGCCAACATCCCCAGATTTCTTATCAGCAACCTCATCAAAGTTGTCTGCTTCCCAAGTGGTCCTACAACAACACGGTGGGGCGGTTGGTCTTCCTTTGTCGATTAAACAGCCTCTAGGAGTTGGTCCACGCGCAGCATTGGGTGGAGGCTCAATGTCCTTCATGCGTGGCGTTTCAGGGGATTTTTCCGACGCCTCTTACAATCCTGATAGCCCAGTGTTGAGGCGGAAACGACGAGTCCTGTTGAGAACCTGGAACGCTTTGCTGTGTATGTCGGTTTTGCATGGTTTAGCAATATTCGCTTATGCGGTTTTGGTGATGATGGGGAGTCAACGAACGGCGTCAGAAGCAGCTTTTCCTTTGGTTGTGCGGTCGTTGAACGGTGGACACTTTGCAGGAGAGAAGGGGATGACGTTGGGAAGTGTTATGAAGAGAACAAGGGAGTTTACAAACATTTGCTTCTTGAAATAGAAGCTGCTCCTCAAAACATACAGAGTCGTCTAGGAACCACAACCTCCTAGACCGCCTCCTCTAATCCTAGGACCCATGCCTCTACAATAGTAGAAGCCGCAAACGGACAAACACCATTGTCGGTTGAATACGGCTTTTTTGATGAGCGATGGTGGGCACCAGAAGCACAGTCGAGTTTTGGCTTCGACAAGCGAGGAGGAAATTTGTATTTTCCGTGTGCTGGTAGTGCGGGGAATAGCGGAGAAAACTGTTGCCTAGCGAGCTCTTTCTCCGCAGCGTCGTCGCCTGTCCGAGTAGAGCCATGCGCATCAGGGAATCAAGACCAGCTGTGGGGATTCATAGACGGCGCAAAAGCCTTCTTTCGCTTGGACTTTTCGGGTGTCAATGGCGGAGTCATTTCCGACGGAGCTTATCTAGCTCTGGCTGCAGATGGTGCAGGCTCGTCACCGCGGCTGCTGTTAGCTGATACGGGCAATACTCAGCGAATAGGAGTGGTGGGAGCGGAGGTAGTCTTCGTACTAGAATAATAGAAGAAAGCAAAGAACAACCTTTTTTCCCTGCTGTATGCGTTGTTTCATTTGCAGCGCATATTTTTTCATGCATACTCGGTCGACAAGCAAACACTCTTCTCCACCATCATCACTCAGATCTCTTCCTCCACCGACCCCGCCGCTATCGGGTTCGGCCTCTACCTGTTATGCTCTGCTAGCGCTGCACTAGCCTTTGCATGGCGATTATTGGCGCAGAAAAACACTCTACGAGGCTGGTTCCGAGAGCGTGGTGCCGGCAGTCCTCTGCGGTCTAGACGTACGTGGAGACAAGACCGGATTTTGAAGAAGGTCACTACTCCAGCTTGGCGTGGAGGGATCGGGTTCGGCTTCAAGCAACACCAGCAGATTCGAGGTGGCGGTGGGTTTAGTAAAATCTAGTTTACAGTTTACGATGACTAGGGAGTTTTCAACCGTAAAACTCAGAAGAGATTCAGGGAAGTCGTAGGACAATTCCGAACCGACTAACATCATCAGGGAGTTTTCAACACGACTGACTAGAACAAAAAACTAGTTATCACAAATTCCATTGAGCTAAACAACAACTGTGATTCAATCGAGCTGTGCTCTGTGCTTGTTATTTTCTTCTTATCCCACTGAAGAGATCAACTTCTGTCGTGCTTCACATCTATTTATTTCACATCTGCTTATTCCTGCTTCGTATATCAAGTAAAAACTCGAGGAGCATCGTTCCGTTCCTCCTTCCACCTAAACTGTAAATGAAAATGTCTACTTGCAACAATTACTGCTTGTTCGCAATTTCCTTCTAGAAATGTACTCTTTATTTGTCGTGAGCTTCTTTACCATCTTCTAACAATGGACGCCCTGCTTAGACTTAATAAATTTTTGTAAAGTACTGATGAAAATGCCTAGAAAATGCCACTTTTGACTGCGTATACAACTGATTGTTCTTATGGTACTACAACGAGTCAAATATATCTGAAACCTGGAAGATTTTCACCGAATATCAACATGATCTAGCTAGCCTTATTCCGCGACGATACTGCAACATCCATCAAAGAATCAACATCTTCGTTGGCTACGCGTCAATACATCTTCCATCATGAGACCTTTTTTACATATCATATTTACTCTTCAGGGAGTAATCGCAATAATTGACAAAGCAAAACCGCTTGTTGGTTGTATTCAGACAATTTATACCGGGTGCTTTTTTTGATCCTTGGATTCCGAATGAGAAGATATTTCGAGAGAAGATCGATTTCCCTACCAACTGTGCCAGTTCCATTCAGCGCTGTTCACAATATTGATCCACAAAGATCCATCCGTCAGTACTTGTTCCAGCAGGATCTTGCTTTTCATTTGATGATCAAATACGCCCACTCCTTCACAAGTGAGCCCACTCCTATCCTATCCTAGTATCATGTGGCAAAGTACATAGTTCTGTGAGAACGATCAAAGGAGCCACCGCATTCACATGGTGGATCTAGGAAAAACAGAAAAAATCAAGAAGCAGAGGATCAAGACAAAGAGATCATGCGAGGATCTCAGGTCTGGATCATGCTGGGTTGGATCTATTTACAAAAACGATGATGGTTGCAAACAACAAACTTTTAATTTCCATTCTACTGTATTAACGCTCTTGCACCTCCACTCAAGATTATCACAGCTTCTTCAGCAGGTGCAGTTGGTAATTCATGCGTAATATCTTTGTGAAGTGTGAACAGTTTTTTTTCCACAACTCTCTGCTTAATCATTGCGAGTGATTTCATATTCGCACTTTAAAGCGACATAACAAACAAAATGGTCAAAAAAGCGATGAAGAAGGTCGTCAAAAAAGTCCCTAGGGCGGACAGAAGCGACACCGCAGAGCCTGCACCAGCCTCAACAACACCTATGAAGGCGAGGAAGAAAGCTGCGAAAAAGACGAGCAAAGCAGCTGATGTTGAGACACCAGATGCATCTGCGACCGAAGTCCCTGATGCATCAGCAGAAACACCAGCAGCCGCAGAGGAATCAAAAGCCTCGTCATCATCGACTTCGAAGAAGAACAAAACAAAAGCAAAAAAAGCTCCATCCAGCTCTTTAACGTCCACGTCTTCTTCTTCCTCTAGCACGAAAGCTGCCTCTGCTAAGTCACCTATGCATGGATTTCTAGAACTGAAGCTTGCAGCCGATGCTGAGGAGACGTACAAGAAGTTCCTGCTCATTAGACGAGATGCAGATGAGAAGAACGCGCTATTTGTGACGCATTTGGAGGACTTGTCAGAGAGTCAGTTGAAAGCTGTCTTTGTGAATTTCGGAGAAGTGGAGAATTTTACCTTGAAGGAACTGGAGCAACGAGCAGCGGCATTGAGGAAAGATGGCGTTGTTTCGAAGGTACTTAAAAATATTTGATCAGTGACTCAATTTTCAATTATGCTTACTACCTTTCTTCGACCTCTTAGTTTTTACTTAGTGAGAGCAATCCTTCACATCCCAACAACATCTTACAATCTATCCTTTCATCTCAACAAGTTGAAATCCCAACAGACCGCCTTCGCCCTTGTCCATTTCGCCGATGCCTCTTCGGTAGACCGATGCATCGAGAAAGCTACAGATGGCTTTCCTCTCCTCGTGGGAGGCATCCGCGATAAGAACGAGCAATGTTTGCGTGTGGCGCTCCAATATTTGAAGCGTACATTCTACCCAGACCCGAAAGAATTGCAATCGAAATATGACGAGTTCATGCGCTTATTCGAAAAAGAGCAGAGCAGGAAAGCGGCAGAACGACTACGCAAGGAAACAGAGCCAGACGAAGATGGGTTCGTTTTGGTCGACAGTAAGAAGAGTTTCAAGCCTGCCTCTACTCCGGGAAGTGGCGTTGGCGGAGCAAATGGTGCCGCGAATGCGGCATTAGCCTTAATGGGTGCTGACGGAGTAGCGACTGGTGGTAAGAAGAAGAAGAAGCCAAAGGTGCTGGAGAATTTCTATAACTTCCAGACGAAGGAACGCCGCATGCAAGAGATGAAGCTCGAGGAGCGCGAGTTGGCAGGTGAGAAAAGAAGAAAGTTGGATTTGGAAGGACTTTCTTAATATATATGATGTTGTGATCAAATTGTTCTCAATACCACCTAATGTTTTCCCCTGCCACTACCTCTGCAAATGTATTTAACTCAGATCATGATCACTGCGCCTACCGCTGGTAGTTTCCATCACGTGTTCCGTTTTGGGTAAGACTAGCCACCAGAGTGATGTGTGGAAAGACGACGACGAGCCACTCTTAAAGCTCACAGTACTCGGTCAGATTCGGTGCATGGGTGTCGGTTCTAGTCCATTTAATCCTACTGAAGAACCTGTTGCCACTCCTTGTCTGCGATTACATGACTCGCTGTTCTGTAGGAAGTAAACGAGAGATAAGAATTTAGCTGGTTATACTAAATTGAGCCTAATGGATCTTTCTACTTCCTAAAAGCATCTGTTATCCTCATGATCTGTCTATCCTAACAACAGCATGATCTGTCATTTTTCTCTTAATTTTTTCCCATGTAATCCCCGTATGACTGGAGCCCAGCGTATGGTTCCTGTGCCGATTCAGTTATTCCTTAATCTAAACCTCTCTGAGATTGAAACATCAACGGCGAGTGGGTTCGCCTCAGCATGATAAATACAATTAGAAAGAACATTCATATGGTTACAAACTTGTTTTTTCATTCTACTATATTCGAAGTTAAATAAGTTATTTTGTCATTAACTGACTTATTTCTTTTCATACTAGTCTTTTTTGGACCATGAAGACCACAACACGCAGTAGCCCGAATGCCAGACCGCCGTTACTACCTGGCGGTCATCGGCGTGGAACTTTGCGGAGAAATCCAGTGACAGCTAGCAGGAATGCGAACGTAGGATCAGGACCAGGTCAACCTGCCGCCAAGGTCTCCAATACACCTGAGCAAACTCGCTACAATGAACCGGTTTTCGCTTGCTACGTGCGGAAGGGGTCCGCAGTCTCCGAGAGGACGGGGTCCAATGAAAGCGTAAAAAGTGCGGTCGGAGGAAGGTTGAAGCTTTCCTTGGTTCGCTCTACTTCGCCAGAGAAGGTAGATTCTTCGGGCCACCAAGGTAACAATGCCGGTAATAATGGCTTCACGCGACTCGATGACCGCGGCGCACCGTTGTCGTCTAGGGGCATGGGTGCACGAGATCAACGTGGCGACGGTGGAGTCGGTGAGCCACGAGTCGTGACTACTCCACGTGGCACAAGTACAGTTTACCCTACCAACACGACAAGGACTACCTCATCCTCATCCAATGCAGCGCCTACAGGGAGAACCACTACGCCACGGAGGCAAAAGCTACGCGAAATCGAACAGGTTGCTAGAGGAGAAAGACGCCGTTCGAGTTCTTTCAACGGGGTGGAGAAGGTAGACTTGGATCTGAGAAATGTTGGTGTTGACGACAACTCTGTAAACGAGGGTGAACAACAAGATCCAGACACGTCAATCTCATTTGGCGGAGGTGAACAAGATGACTACAGCTTTTTTCAAGCAGTGTCTGGCGCAGATGAAGGAAACACAGCGAGTAAAAAGAAGAGCAATGATGAGGTGAAAGTCCCACGACCAACGTTTATCTACAACACCCCTGGTTTACGGGAGTTGGTTACTACTCCTCGGAATAACGACGACGTCAATGGATCAGCAACAGCACGAACTTCGACAGCCGCCTCGTCTTCTTCATCGACGAGAGAAAGCGAATCCTCTACGCAGCAAGCCAATGCAGGTAGCACTGCTAGCCACAGTCAAGCAGATGGCGCTACGGACACAGAGAAAGATGCACGTCCGACGTTGCAGCATAGAGCAGGCATTGATTCGTTGTTGAGCAAGGTCTTGCTGGGCACTGGCTCTAGTGCAGGTTCATCAAGTGGGACTTCATCAAGTGGGACTTCATCCACTTCAGGTTCAAGTTCTTCATGTGGGCCTACCACTAGGTCCGCTGCGAGCGTCGCTGCAACGCTTGCAGGCATTTCTGTGGAGAATAAGCGCAAACGCTTTTTGGAGCGGATACGAGGAGACGCGCCAAAAGAACAAGGTGGCACGTCTGCAGCATCTTCGGGAGCAACCAGTAGTGCCGCTTCTGAGGGTGTGAAGCATACTTCTCAAGACAACAATAACTTTTTCCAGGATTACTACCAGAACGATTGGAACATCTACGAAAAAAAGTGGGAAGAGTTTACTTCTACAACGGGAAGAAGTATCGCCTCTGCAAATGATGTCCCTTGGCCACCTGGCTTCGGAGTTTCCAGTTCGAAGATGCTGGTTCGTTCTTCGCAAAGCTTAGCGAATAAAGACGCCTTTCACTTGTTGCAACGACGGTATCATCCGGACAAGTTTTTAGCGAGGTATATGTTTAGTTCGGATGCAGTGAGGCAAGAAGTAGCGGGGTTGGTGAAAGAGCTATCGCAAAGACTGAATCAGGAATGGAAAGTGGTTTCAACAGGTGAAAATAGTCAGGGGAATAAGCGGTGATTGGATTTGGTAATATCTGGTGGACAGTGAGAAGTCATGACTTCTGGGTTAAGAATACATCCCTTAGCTCTTGTAATATCTATCGCTGATTACTGGTGTGTTCAAATAAATCTGTAAAACGGCATTCAAAACTGTGGTAAAGCAGAAAGATGAAGAGAGTCGGGGAAAGAATGTCCTTAATGAACCTTTGTAATTGCGTAATGCCCCCGATCCCAATAGAGAGCAATAAATCTGTATATCTCCGGACTCGGTATGCCTGAATCTGTTGCATTCGCGAAGGCTTGCAGATTCCTCCCCCAGGTTTCGGTCAAAGAGCGACGTGCCCCACCGGGCAAGTGACACATAAAAACGAAAAGGCAAAAATGGCCTCTGTCAATGGAGGGAACCCGTATAAGACGGAAAAGAGGCAGCTGCTCTAAAAAGCGAAAAATATAATTTTGACCGGAAAAGAGCTTGGCGTAGTAGAATCAACATGGTCAATAGTCAACATGTACAAAAAAGTTGTCTTTATAGATACCAAGTACTTTCAAGAAGTATGCATTTACATCTAAACAAGATAATATGAACCGACGATGACGTGAACATCTACGGAAAAAAACCGCCTTCGACTTCTTCTAGTACAACGGGGGTCAGCACTCTTGGCTGTGACAACAGCGCCGACTGTTGACTGAGGAGGTCTTCGTGCGCTCAATGTCGAGGGAGTGGTTGAGATGAGTTCTCACCGCCGTTCGCGGCGGGCCCGCTCACCGATACTGCATAGGAAGATGGTCCTCCAAAGAAGGACGACAATAATTTCCCTCTGCACCAGTGTAGTCGTCGTAGCGCTGAATCGAGCACGTAGTTCAGCACGGCATCAGACGCGGTTGGAGGTTGCTGATGGTGATGTTAAGGAACGGGTTTCTCTGATAGAAATCTTGGGAGTCTGAATTGATGTGAGCTTTAAAGTCTAGTAGAAGGAAGATCTCGAGGAACTCTGAGTATGATCCATCGAAGCAATTGCCATCTCTAATCTCGATGTTTTCCGCGACGGAGGCTCCAGTAGCGCGGCCGATTCTGCTGCCCCTTTCCTACCTACAGCGGACAGTGACTCCGAAAGTACACCTGCACGTGCCTGGAGAGACGACGATGACGATTATGTCGTCATACCTAGTCCAAAGTCTTCTTCTAGTAGAGGCACGACCACATCAGATACTGCACCCACTGGTGAGAGCTATCTGGAAATAGGACAGGCACAGACTGAGGCAAAAATAAAAAAGCACTCGTTTCCTGTTGAGAAGCATGGAGGAGAACAACAACAGAAGGCCTCCTCCAACTCCAAGAAGGTGAGTAGTCAGACTAACGCAGCAGAGCAGTCACATCCAGTAGATCAAATCGTCCTCGCCGAACCATCAGTAGATGAGACTGTTTTTGCTGCCGCAAGTCTAGTAGAAAGCGAGGGGCCGATAATACGCGCAGCAGCGGAGTTTCCTCATGAGAAGCAGTTGCATTTCGGAGACCATGTAAAATTGAAGCCTGCGGGGAAAAGTGACTTTTTGGATTCGACAGCTTCTCATGAACGAAGTGCTACTCCTTCGACGTTGGCGGAAACTGGAACTAGTCAATCTTCTGCTGTTGAAACCAGTGTAAAGAAAGTCGGCCCAAATACTGTTTCAGACGATGTGCCAGCACAGCTTACAGGAGTTGACATGGCGGGTGACGATAGTTTCGATACCGAAGCCACTGACGAGAGGGCGGCGACACAGGTAGCTGCGAGTAAGAAAGTAGGTAAGGTTGTTAGTGGAAGGAAGAAGGAGACTGTTGGGGCTTATCTGCAGGTGGGGAAGAAAGTTGGGAGGAAAGAGAAGCAGGGGGACACAAAAAAGAATGGTAGGGAAGAAGCAGAGAAAGAAGAAGCAGAGGAAGAAGAAGCAGCGGAAGAAGAAGCAGAGGAAGAAGAAGCAGAGGAAGAAGAAGCAGAGGAAGAAGAAGCAGAGGAAGAAGAAGCAGAGGCAGAAGCAAAGGAAGAAGCAAAGGAAGAAGCACAGGAAGAAGCAAAGGAAGAAGCAGAGGCAGAAGCAAAGGAAGAAGCAAAGGAAGAAGCACAGGAAGAAGCAAAGGAAGAAGAAGAGGAAGAAGCAAAGGAAGAAGCAAAGGAAGAAGCAAAGGAAGAAGCAAAGGAAGAAGAAGAGGAAGAAGAGGAGACCAGCACTAGCTCCTCCTCTTCCTTCTCCCAAAAACGCTCCTCTACTTCCAGTCCATCCAAAAAGCCACCTTCCACATCCAAAGCTTCAAAAAAATCCACTTCTACTCCAGAACCACAGAGCGTCCTAGAAACTTCAGACTCCTCAACATCTGTTTCCTCCAAGAAGAACTCCAAATCATCTACCTCTCCACCTACTGCTTCTTCTTCTCAGGGTTCTCGCAAATCCGCCTCTACGCCAAAAAGCAGCGTCCTAGAAACTAGTCCGCCAACACAACCACAAAGCAGTGTCCTAGAAACCAGCACAAATCTTCCCACTGACCCACTAGCACCTAGAGGAACTACATCAGCAGAGGGACAACTGAGTCTTCGGCATCTAGGAGAGCCAGGATGGGAGGCTCACGTAGGCATAGATAGGTGGTGGGAGTACCCAGATACCTTTGATGATGACGAGGAGGAGGGAGAGCGCCATGATGAGCAAGAGGAGGGAGTCGTTGAAAGTGGTGCTTTTCTAGAGACTGGCAGGCGGCCGCGGGACTTGGATGTTATGAAGGGGACTCCCCGTGTTGCAATGAGGCAACCTGCGGCATTCAAATGGAATGATGGTAGTTCTTCGTTCCACGATGTCGTCAAATGTACAACGGGTAAAAAATACTTGGAAGATTTATAACCTATAGTGAGTGGGGGACCTAATTCTTTATAACCTATGGTGAGTCTGGTAAATACTTGGTGAGTGGTTGACCTGGTTCTTCTATTTGTTCTATCAGGACTGCTGTGACACGGCGTTAAGCCCAGACGAAGGGTTGCCGTCGTCGCCATCTGAATTTGAATTTGTACACTCAAGTACTGTCGTCTAAGTTGAACGAAGATTCTGGCGAAGATAGTGCGGAAGATGAGGACCACGAGTACGAAGATTTCGACGGCGAAGTGGACTTTGAGATGGATGGTGATGAAATGGAGGACCATCTAATAGCCGATCCAGATGAAGACGACGATCATCCTTCGACTTATCTAGAAACCTCTGTCTCTGGTATGGAGAACGAAGAGTCTAGAAAAGATGCGAACTCTGCTCTCGTAGAAGTAGATTCAACAAGTGGAGTCAAAGCTGAGCATAGAGACGGTGAGTCCGAAGGAGCAAGCGGTCGCGCAGTTTCCGTACTTGAAGAAAGCACTGGAGGATATGGCTATAGTACTGAGACTCAAAAGTGTTTAGATATTCGTCGGATACTGCACAAGGACAAGCTATTATAGTGACCACACGTGACACTAAGCGAGTTAGGTACCAACCAGCGTGGGCTGTTCTTCTGAAGAGCCAGGGACTCAGCGTTTTCAGATCGTGAAGTTTTGCTCTGCCCTCTAATTTTGAGTACGCGAGGACGACGTGCCACTAGCGATGCGAGTAGTGTCTGCGCAGCAAGAATTGTCTTCGAGAGAGGAACGCATGATGGTTGCAAGCAGACGGGAAGGTCCTTTGGAACTGGTTGAAGTCGAAAGTCCAGAATTAGGGTTGATCCGGGTATCGTGGAATCGGCTTGGCGGCCTCGTGAATACCCTTCTTTTCCGACCGACCGTACCGAACGAAGCATTAAGGCGAACACAAGGGTTTGATATATGCACTTCTGTTTGTACATTTCAGGATATGAAGTTTTTTTAGCAGCTACTAGAAGTTCCTCATCGATCATGTATTATAATTTCTTCAATCTTTGGTCGTGGGTGTCAATTTTCACTTTCATATGATGTCCTGCGACTAGTATTTTGGATTTACGTACTCTGGCGGAGACATACTCATATTGGGGGTGATGACAAACTCTAAACATCGTACTGGCCTTTACGATATCCGATTGCGTACATGTGGACAAACCGGACGACTCCTTTTTTCCCAGTAGCAACCCAGTCGGAGGCGTTACAAAAGTTACAGAATCTTAAGGCTTTGATAAGTTTCTGTCCGTTGATGGTCTAAGAATAAGTACCATCCGTCTCCTTCTTATAGTAAAACAACTTACAAAAAAATCAATTCACGAGAGCTTCTCTAAGAATCATGTGTGGGCCTAGTGACCTACGGCGGCGCAGCGCAAAAACTAGAGCGCGTTTGTGAAGAAGCAACGCAAAAGGGAGGCGCCAGTAGGTTTGTACAACGGTGTCTGGGGATGGGCTATCTTTCGCCCAGGAGTAAGAAAGAGCATGGCGGACGCTTGGGCGCACTGATCGCTTTATGAGAGCATAATGTTCGTTGTAATCACTAATCTCAATCAGACACTCACATTGCATATTCTTTCATATTACTACACTACTGCTTCCACTAATATTGCTGTTCCTCATTGATCTCAATCTACGTTCGTTATAACAATCTATCATCATTCTCGTAGTTATAGAAGTAGATCCATGTTGTACAACGAACAAGTGTAAGCAAATTTTATTGACGGCGTATTCGTATCATGTCTAAGGTGTATTGTTACAGTGGATGTCTAACGGGCAAGCGATGTCCAACGGGCAAGCCTTTGATATTGGTATTTATGTTTCTTGTTCACTGACTCAAAAATTGGAATTTCACTAATTTGCGAGCCTTTAGTACACTACTAATCTGATGTCGTGTTGTTCCTATATATTCCTCACTCTCTCCACTTGCACTTCTAATCTCAGAGGCCAATGGACGTCCGGAGTTTGTGAGGGTTGACGATATTGCGGTGTTCTTCGTTGAAACTGATCCGACTTGGCGGCGCTTTGACCAAGCGGTACAGTCTCGGGCTACCGAAATCATGGCGGCCGCTGCAGACGGACTAGGAGGAGCTCAAGGACTAACAGGGAGAAAGAGGACTAAGGACTACACCGAGAAGGACGAGAAGATTAAGGCGCTCAGATTTGTGGTGTCGATAATTCAAAA